GTAACAGCTATCTTGTCGTTAGTTAGATTGCAAATTGTGCGATGGTGAGTAGGTTTTTGGTCATAAAATGTATCAGAGAATAATTATTAAGTGTATTATCAAAACTTGTTCAAGACAGATTATAATAAATGTCTTTTTAGCGTTCTCTATTTCTACTTGAAGTGTTCTCCTCTGCCAAAATGACCAAAATCTCTCTATTCTCACTGAAAGCTAACCACAAACTTTTGAGGTTCTATATTTCGTCGGAGGTATGTGTAGTATGATTAGATCAAATTGTTCAAGCGGATTTTTTATACGTGGGTTGGTTCCTGTGTTGTCCATAATCACGGGTTTCAGAGGCTCAAATATTGGTTACATGGGTGCTGGCCCAAAAAGGAAACTCATAGTCAGGGGGTGGACACGCCCGCTGCGCAGGCTTTGCCCACCCCCACGAGCTGTGCACTCTGACGAGGCTGGATCCGGCTAACCCTCGGCCTCAACGTTCAACCACTGACCCTTAGACAAAGAGGCTTGCATTGGCCAACATGAACACACAGGATGGCAACAAGCTTTCCAGACTCACAGGTGTCATAAGGGCGCATTACGACAAAGAAACAAAGAAACGACGCCCACCGCTGAACAAAAAGGGAAACACAAAGGTAAACTCCAACCATTCTTCCTTGTGGAAGGGTGCACTCACACTTCATCCTTATCTAGCGTTGCAGTAGCTGCCTGGATCTGGATACGGGCAATCTTTGGAAATGCACCAGATGCTCCATAGACATATGCACTCAGAAAAACGGCTCTGGGTGTCTCAAGCTTCTCCGCGATGTGTCGAAGACGGAGTTTATGTGTCGTGATTGCATGATCACAATGGGCAGTCTGGATATACCTGTTAGTTGAGACATCCTGCTTTCCGTGACACCCTCTTCGTTGCTTACTGATAGCACTGTAGTATGAAGTTGAAAGCTACTTTCGGGGCTCACGGCGCCAAAGGTCAAATAATGCCCTATGGGTGGCATACCTGTCAAACTCGGGTAGATTTGTTATGGATGTGGTTTCTAGGCACCTCTTGGCACAGTTTGCCTCTTGCAGTGACAATGTACGTGATCTTATCTCTGGACTTGGTGCTGGATAGCTGCTGAATCGACGGGATCAACCACAGCTGTATATGTGGACCCGCGATTTGACGCAGCCTCTTGCACCATCTCTTACCTCATCTGAGACTGACAAGGCGCTTTTCTGGATGAGAAATGTCTGTAAACATGCCAAGGACATATTGGTAATGGTCAATGCCGATTGCGATGCAGTATCGGGCAACGTCATTCTGCCTGAGCGCCAAATGGCTATGGAAACGGTCACGATTCTCTGGGTGCTTGCATTTGTACCGCATGCTTACTCTGAGCCCTAGGTTATCCCTCAATACTGTGGGGTAGATGACTTCAAGGACATCCTGGATTTATCCCCCCCACAAGATGTCCTTCGAGGGGTTATTATCCTCAAAGGCAGATCGTGCATGAACGTTCGGGCGAGGTATGAAGAATTAGTTGCTGAAGTCAAAAAGTAGGTCAGCCGAACGAATAAATGACCTGATGCTGACGTCAACATTAGGTCTCATTTTGACTTCATACTTGTATTCACGCATTCCGACCTGAGCCAGGAGGACCTTTCAATCCCACTGATGAGGTTCATTGAACATGTGTACATCGACCACGATGCTCCTTGGCAGGCTTTACAGAACGCTTTTGGCGACAAGGATATCCTTTTGGAGACCTCCCCGATGCTCATTTTTTCAGATGCGGTCAATGTGCACGGACAACGGGCGGAGGTCCATACTAGGGTACTGTCTCGGGATCACCATCTTCTTCCCTTTGGTCTGGAGTACTGGCGGTCCCTGTGCTCCTGCAAGTCAACCTTACCCAAGCTTTCCACCAACTACAACACTTATGGAACGGAAACTCTGGCGCGCATTCAATGCATGAAATGTCAAGCCACACCGAGATCCGTCAAGCGCCCTAATTGGGTGATTTCAATCGAAGGGGGCAAAAATCTTGTATACTACAACTGGCCATTGAGTAAGGACCAAGTTGAACTACTCGGTAGACAGCATGATACAGACGTTATTATAAAGGATTGAGGCTAAACACTGTTTCCATTTTTTATGACACTAAATGACATCGTGTTAGGCTTACGTACTTTACCCAAAATCAAGAAATGGTTATACATTGTTCAGATCAGCGCCGGAAATAATCACTCCACGATCTCACGTCAGACTCTGGCGTTGGAATGGGGGAGTCAGCGCTCAGCACCACAGGAATCAGAAAGCACTTTTCGGCTTCAATGGAGAATCAAGCAGACCCTATTACTGTGATTCATCGTCAGAATAGACAGACTTTTGTGCAACGCGTGTGAAATATTTTTCCTTCGCCCAACTTGCTTAAATTT